GTAAGCATTACTATAGCTTCTGTGAGGGGAAGTCTGGACTTAATTTCAGCTCTAAGTGTCTTTGAGCCTTACTATCTCTACCTAGGGATGTGGCAAACTAGAGTGACATCCAAGTACTGGCACCCAGGGGTATGAACAAACAAAAAAAAATATATTATCTATTTTCTTCCCCTCTTTAGAGAGATCAGAGGCCATGAAATATGACAAATACAGTGCCTCACTGATAAGTTAGTACACCACCACTGTAAAGAGATACCTCAAGCCCTGGCCTGTGTGGCTCAGCCTGTGTGGCTCGGTTGGTTGGAACTTCATCCCATGTACCAAAAGGTAGTGGGTTTGATCCCCATTTGGGGCACATGCCAGAGGCAACCAATTGATGTTTTTCACATTGATGTTTCTGTTTCTCTCTCTCTCTTCCCCCCACCCCCCTTTCTTCCCCCCTTCCTCTCTCTTAAAAAAAAAACATACCTAAAAAAAGTAGAAATGTTTGATAACAGTATAATTGGGCCAAGAAAATGTTACAATTCCCTGTATGATCAGGAGAATAAATGGGGAATAGCCCATTTTATTTATTTATTTTTAATCTGAGGACATTTTTCCATTTTTTTGTTCAGGTAGAGTGGGAGAGAGAGAGAGGAACAGAGAGAGAGAAACAGCGATGTGAAAGGGACACATTGAGTGGCTGCCACCCACACAACCAACCAGGGCCAGGGACAAACTGCAACCGGGGTACATGCCCTTAGCGGGAACCGAACCCGGGTCTCTCTGGACCGTAGGCCGATGCTCTAACCGCTGAGCCAAACCGGCCAAGGCGGGGAATAGCCCATTTTAAAATGGCCTTTTATTTTTCCCACCTTCAGTCTCCCAACTTTGAAGTATTTCTGTTGGCTCAGATATTGAACACTGCAGGCTACAATTACTCAATAAGCAGATTAATAAAACTTTGTGTAAACATCTTACACAGGATTTTCAGTGCCATTTGGCAGTCTTCTGTGTCACTAATCAGCTGTTTCCTAGCCCCTACAGCAGAAATTTAGCACGTTTATTCCTTCAACAAATACTTCTTAAACTCCCACTCTGTGCCAGGCATTGTCCTAAGCTCCAAGGATATAGCACTGAACAATAAAGATGGAAATAACCCTGCCCCCACAGAACTTACCTTCCAGCAAAATACTGAACGCTACATAAATGTTGGTTAAATATGGGCAGTTACCACTGTTGGTGGGATGACTACTGTCCCAGTTTACCTGGAACAGCCCCAGTATAACACCTGTTCACTTTCCAAGGGATCCCATTTTGGACAGTTCTAAACATTTTACATATATTAATTTTATTTAATCCTCATGATAATCCCATGAAGTATATAAGATTATTAGCATCATTAATACAAGTATGAAAACTGAAACATAGAGAAGTTGAGTAGTTTGCCCTTGGTCATATAGTAAGTAGCAGAACCAGAGTTAAAACCCAAACAGCAACCTAGTTTCAGAGTTTGTGCTCTGAGTCCCTATGCTATACTATCCCTAGACTGCTATTGTAAATCTTTCCATCCTACTGTGGCTGTCTCCTTTCTCCTCCCTGGCAAAATAAAGCAGGTGATCTCATTTCCTTCACAGATAAATTTCTGGCTTTCCAGAGTAAACTTCCTCAACTTGCCACTCCCTCCTTTACAAATCTGGCTTCACTCCATCCCTCCATTTCAAGAAAGGGGACATCCCTCTTCCTGTCTAAAACTTGTACTTTAGCCCCATCCCATCCCACCTCCTGGATGACTGTTTTCTAAATTATTATTCTCTTTTTCGTGGACCTTCAATCTCCATCTTTTCACTAGTTTTCAGCATGTAAGCATGATCTGTTGTTATCGAAAGGTATCACTCTTTCAAGAAGCTTTACTGTTGGGAGGTTATTTAAACTTTATTAATAGCATAATGATAAGTGGCTACTAATTATTTATTACCCTGTAAAATTCCAGGTACTATATATATCTCTAATCCTTTTACCAACCCTACAGATAACTTAACAGATGAAGAAATGGAAGCTCAGAGAACTACATAATTTGCTTAGCTCATGAGTAGTGGCACTGAATTCAGACTCATATTTGCCTTACTGGGAAGTTCATTCTGTTGCTGGTACATCGTACTACTTTATCACAATTCTCAAAGACTTCCCTTGATCCTCTGCCTGTCCCCCATTGCCCTGTAGCTCTCCTTTTCGTCAAGGAGCTTTTTCAAAGAGCATATTTAATACTCAGAGACTTTGCCTTTCATTTGCTTCTCAATCCATCCTAATCTGACTTCTACCTCTGTATTAATCAGGTCCCTCTAGAGAAACAGAATCACCATGTGTTTTTCTCTCACATATATTTAAATGATCTATATCTCTCTATATATATTTAGAGAGGGGGTGTTGATTTTAAGAATTGGCTTATGCAGTTGGGGCTGGAAAGTCTGAAATCTGTAGGGCAGCCCAGCAGGCTGGAAACTCGGGTAGAATTTCTGTGCGACAGATTTGAGGCAGAATTTCTTCTCTGGGAAACCTCAGATTCTACTTTAGGACCTTTACTCAAAAGACTTTCAACACCCCCACCCCCTACCCATATTATCATGGTAATCTCCTTTACCTAAAGTCAATTGAGTGTAAATGTTAATAACATCTTCAAAATACCTTCACAGCAACATACATCTATATTAGTGTTTGATCAAAGAACTGGGCAACCATAGCCTAGCTAATTTGACACATAAAATTAACCATCACAATCTCAGTCACTTTACCATGTCTTCTTCATTGCTAAATCCAATGGACACTTTTCATATCTTTTCTTACTTGATCACTTTGCAACATTTGACATTTTGAACCATTCCATTACTTCTTGAAATCCCTCTCCCTTAGTTTCAACCACCCCAACCTCTCCCCATTCTCCTGTCCTGGCTATTCCTTTTCTCATATTTCAAGGACTTAACTCATCATCTCCCAATTCTTTAATTATTGATAGTCTCTTCTGTTCTTGGCCCTCTTATTATTCCTATGATTGATGTCTCCCAAATCTAAAATTCCATCTTAGAGTTCTCTACTGAGCTTCAGACCTATATATCCAATTAGCTGTTGCACATCTCAAACTGCTTGTCTAAAACTGAAGTCCTATTTCCCTCTCAAACTTGCTTTTGCATCTCTTCTCTTCTCTTAGTTTGTGGTACCCTCTCCACTCAGTTACCCAAGCCATTAACCAGAGAGGAATCCTCAACTTCTCCCTTAAGTTTACCGTGTAAAACTTCCTCATTTCTATCTTGATCTCAACCAAGAGAGCTCAACCCTTATTTTCTCTCACCTGGAATCTTGTGGTCTTTTTGCCTCCTATCAGCCTCTTTCCAGCCCCTCTAGACTGCTGCCCAAGTGATGTTTTAAAAATGCAAATCAATTTAATCAAGTTTAAATTTCTCCAGTAGCTCTTAATTGCCCACAGAATTAAAGTGGAATTCTTTAGCAGGTCTGCAAGGCTATCCATAGCTAGCCCTTTCCTACTCTTTATCTCCCACCATGCCTTACTCACTCATCATACTTTCAAGCCAATATTTATAGAGCTCAGTCTTGCCATGCCCTGTATTGCTGTTTCTTCTTTTTGGCTGGTATGTTCACTACTTCTATCAGTTCCCTCCCTCCCTATCCCAATCTGGGAAATCCAGAAAAATTATTTCAGTACCCAGTTCTGTCTTCTTTGAATAACCTTCTTCAATTCCACAAATAGAGTGGACCATACCTCCTTTCTGACATCATTATTCATTGTTTTCAGCTCTACTATAGCACTTACCACTGTATTATTTATTTTTTGTTTATCTGAGTTCCATGTTCCAATGGGCTGTGAACTCAAGTATTTTCACTGCCTGGCATATAATAGTCTCTTATCAGATGTGTGGTGGTGATGGAGATGATGAGCTCGAGTGGATCACACAGTTCATTTAAATATGGCCATGCCATTCATATTGAGGAGTGTTGGACTTGGACACACACAGAGGAGAATGGTGGACATTTCTTTATCCTCCCTTGCCGCTTCTAGAAGCTGCTGCTCCAACCTTTAGTACCTGATCCCTTTTGATGTATACTTTTCATGATGTTTTAATACCTATTCTCAGCCTTCACTTTGCTTTTGTTTTATTTTGTTTGTATCCTTGGAGCAGTTAGAAAGAGAGGAAGCTGTTAAATTACTATTACAAAGTCCCACTCTCCCATTTTCATTCCATCACAGGAGAAACCATACGACAGCTTGTTCCCATGCGATTCTTATGTGCAAAAGAAATCTTCTTTTCTCAGCAGTAAAAATAATTCATGTTATAATAACAATATTTTCAACAGTTTTTTAATTCTCCTATGTCCCCAAAATGTCTCCATGCATTTAATGTCAAATTAAAAACTAAACTAGATCTGTGTTAATCCTGAGAGAAGAAATAATGGTTTTTAAAGACTGTAATAATGAAGAATTCTTGGGTTTTTAACATGAAAATTTCAGGTGATGAAGGGTCCTGCTATATACATTGGGGTCAAAGGATAGTAGAATGGTCAGCATCTCAATTTAGACTTATGTATTACTTTCTACTCTAAGTACACTCGTAGAAGCTACTTGTGGTGTAACTCCTTATGTATTTAAATTTATCTGACTCTTGATTTTCTTGGTTTATTTTTTAAATGGGTGAAGAATCTACTTACGAATTCTTTGCCCTTTATGGAATGTGGTATCTTGGTTTTAATTCCACATATCCCTTCCCCTTTACTTACTTTTATCGTATTGTTTTGCATTGTGTTTCTAAAATAATGGCTTTGGCTTGTTTTTTTCCTGAATGTTTCTGCAGTTTGGTTTGAGTATCTGGCTTTGGGCATCCCTCCTGAACTCCATTTGTACTTGTGATTTTTGGAAGGCAGAAGCCAGTGTTTTCTATGGAAGATTTTTTTTTTTTTTTAATATTATATGTGTGTGTCTCTCCCCTCCTTCCTTTTTGGTTTCTCTTAAGACTGGAAAGAAAGCGGTTAAGGCAGTCCTGTGGGTGTCAGCAGATGGACTCAGAGTTGTGGATGAAAAAACTAAGGTAAAAACTTTTATAAGTTTAAATGTAACTGCTCATATATTTATTTTAATTCTTAATAATCTAATATAATTCCATGAAGCAGTTGTAGTCACTCTGTATCCTTGCACTTTGTCCAAAGTACAATCTTCTGAGACTAGTTAATGTTTAGGAAACCAATTTAGTTACTCATTTATCTTATAAAAAATAGAAATCTCTCCACATTTTGCTCTACATGACACAGCATGTTTAGCCTACCAAGCATTTTCACTTAATGTTAAGATCTGAGTTCTATTTTTGTTGTTACACATTTAAAAAAATGTTTTTACCCTCACAAATTTGATGTAAAAGATGATGGGCCTTTTACCACAGTTAACATTTAAAAAAAAAAAGAAAAGATGATGGGCCACAAATTTAAATTCCTTTTTGTTCCTTAATAAAACACTGTATTTTTAGAAAGTGGTATTTGAACTGATTAACCTGCTATTTAACTGAAAACCCAACTTAAGTGAAATCTTAAGGACTAGTAAAAATGGCTTATTTGGTTAATATTTACTTAGAATCCACACAGTATCTCAAATCATAGGCAGCATTTTGCATCTGAAAGAAAGCGATCCTGCATGCCCAAATAAGAATAGAGACATAGACTCTTCCCTTAGAGAGCATATGGTATTATGTAAGTACATTAATCATTAATTTAAATTTCCTAAGAAACCTAAAGTCTGGAGAAATTTTAGCAAGAAGATAGTTTTTCAGAAAAACTCAAATGTCACTGGCCCTGGGAGAAAGTCTGTCAGGTAAAGAGCAGTTTGATGGATAACTTGCCCACTACATTTTAAGTGATTTAATACAGCTGCATTTTAGTTATCTTGTCCTTCCATCTAAGGCCTTTTCTTTTTTTAAAGTTCAAGAGAAGTGATAATGTTAAATGTTTGTGACTCTTTGAAAATACAAACATTTTAGTTAGGTTATTTTTAAGAACTTGTATAATTTTCATAAGTATTTTGTATGAAATTTGTATGTGGATGATATGTTTTGAATTGTTTTGTAAAATAGTGAAAAAGTGATGTTTCCCCCTGGTGGCTGCTTATAGCACTGACATTAATTAGTTCTTTCCACACGGAGTGATAATATTAATTGGTGGCTTGTCACTCTTGGACTTACTGTGAGTGGAAAAGAAAATTTGCAATGTGTATAATCTATAAAAGGCTCATATTCAGAATATATAAATAAATACCACATATCAATGAAGTGACAACGCAAAAGGCAATCACTTTGCTAAAGAAGAAATTCGTAGTAACCAAGGTTATGCAAAATAAAATCATAATGAGCTGCCAGAATTGCAAATTTTTATTTATTTTATTATTTTTTAATCTTTAAAATATTTTTAAAATTCATTTTTACAGGAAGAGAGACATCGATTTGTTGTTCCATTTATTTATACATTCATTGGTTGATTCTTGTATGTGCCCTGACTGGTTATCAAACCCATAACCTTGACATATTAGAATGACACTCCAACCAACTGAGCTACCCGGCCAGGGCCAGAATTGCAAAATTTTAAAAAATTGACTGGCAAGCCCTGGCCAGTTTGGCTCAGCGGTTAGAGCGTCAGCCTGCGGTCCGGAGAGACCTGGGTTCGGTTCCCGCTAAGGGCACGTACTTCAGTTGCAGTTTGTCCCCGACCCTGGTTGGTCGTGCGGGTGGCAGCCACTCGATGTGTCCCTTCACGTCGATGTTTCTCTCTCTCTCTCCCTTCCTCTCTCTCCCTCCCACTCTATCTGTACAAAAAATGGAAAAATGTCCTCAGGTGAGGATAAAAAAAAAAAAAATTGACTGGCAAATTTGTGGAACAGTGAGAATTATCAGTGATGCTGTATAAAAGCCATTTGGTTTGATTGCATGTTTTAGTACTTACAGCCTCATCTCAGCATCTAGGGATTCTAGACCATGAGAATATCACACAGAAGAGCCTCAGAGCCTCAAGATTCTTAAAAACATTTTGTGTAATGTTTATACTGTGTATATATTAGGTCATTCAGCAAGCATATAAACAGAAAGTCCTCAAAATTAAGTGATCAGTAAGTTAATAAGTACATAGAACTATTCTGGGAATGATGTTATTATATAAGTTTTATGGAAATTGGATTAAATATACTGATTTGCATATATTGCACATTGAACATGGGAACTACCATGATAAAATTATAATCAGCAAGCATATGTTTTAGAACATGAAGATGAGGTGAAGGAGGCATCTGAGCAATGGACCTCGTGGGATCTCTCTTAGGTCAAATTATTCGTATTCAGACCTAGATTCAGTTATTCCATAGGCTCAATGCATTAGATGTATGGATTCTGTATTATACAGTAAACATTCTGTGTTTCTTCTGAGAAGCTTGAATAACTTTATAATTCTCTGTTCCTTTGTGCTTCCCTTTTTCTAGGACCTCATAGTTGACCAGACAATAGAAAAAGTTTCTTTCTGTGCCCCAGATAGGAACTTTGATAGAGCCTTCTCTTACATATGTCGTGATGGCACCACTCGGCGCTGGATCTGTCATTGCTTCATGGCTGTCAAGGACACAGTGAGTTCAACCTGGATTTCATCATGACTAGCCTCAGTCAAACTCCTTCCGGGTTGGCTTAGTCAAGCAGCTTCCACTACATTTTTGACAAGTACATGCTATTATAATACTTGGCAGTGCCTAAACTAGCCTGCTTTCATTCCTTTTATTCAAGTAATCCACACTCTTGGTGTTACCCTGAAACTCATGTAGTACAATGATTAGATGAGATCCAAGGGCATTAATGGAAAGTAGAAGTATTCTGGCGAGGGTGGCTACTAAATTTTATTTGAAACTTTTCATTATTAGAGCCATTTTCAAGATGCTTACATGTATTTGTTTGCTAAGACATTTGGATAGAAGATATTGGCATTTGAAAGGTGCTTATAAATTTATTTGCAAAGAGATTCTTCTACATGTGAAAGAACTGAGTTGGAGTATATTTTCAATTAATTTAAAAATAGAAATGTCAAGTTATGTTATAGTGAAGTATGCTAGAAATTGTTGCATATTAAAAATTTTTTTTGTTTAAAAATAGAGAATAACCTAATGTATCATACTTTATGTAAAATATCTAAAATTCTGATACGAAAGAAAACTCTTTTACATAATGATGATCTTAACTATAGATAGAGCTTAACTAATAGTTATAGTATAGCATTGAGTACATAATTTCTGAGTTAAGACAGTATGAGGCAGTATAGCCATTCACAAAGATACAACTTAATAAACTCTTGTCAAGGTTTTTTTTTTTCCCCTCACCCAAGGACATTTTTGCATTTATCTTCAGATAGAGCAGGAGGGAGAGAGGAAGGGAGAGAGAGAGAGAAATATCTATGTGAGAGAGACACACCGAATGGTTCCCTCCCACATGACCCCAGCCAGGGCCAGGGATCAAACCGCAACTGAAGTATGTGCCCTTGACCAGAATTGAACCCGTGACTCTTTGGTCTGTGGGCTGTCACACTCTGACTGCTGTGCCAAACCGGTCAGGGCAGTGGTGTGTTTTTTTCAATTCTTGGAGACAGTGGTATACACAGATATTAAGAGCTCAGGCTCTGAATCAGATCTGGGTTCCAGGCCTGATTCTGGTGTTCACTAGCTATGGAATTTGTGGCAAATTACTTAACATTCTCTAAGTCTTAGTATCCACTTCTGTAAGATGGAGATAACAGTTGCTAAAGCTAACTTAGATAATGAATATAAGCACTCTTAGCATAGGGTCTTGCCCATGGTAACTGCTCCAAAAACGTTGACTATTATTGTTTTGTTTTGTTTTGTTTTTTTCCTTTATTGATTTTAGGGCGAGAGGAAGGGAGAGGGAGAGATAGAAACATTGATAAGAGAGACCATCGACTAGCCACCTCCTTCATGCTCCCCGCTGGAGATTGAGCCCACAACGTGGGCATGTGTCCCGACCAGGAATCGAACTGGTGACCTCTTGGTGCATGGGTCGACGCTCAACCACTGAGCCACACTGGCCGGACTTGACTATTATTATTTTTTTTTTTTTTATCCTCACCCGAGGACATTTTTTGTTCAGATAGAATAGGAGAGAGGGAGGGAGGGAGAGAGAGAGAGAGAGAGAGAGAGAAACATCGACGTGAAAAGGACACATCGAGTGGCTGCCACCCACACGACGCAACCAGGGCCGGGGACAAACTGCAACCTAGGTACGTGCCCTTAGTGAGAACCAAACCCTGGTCTCTCTGGACCGCAGGCCATGGCTCTAACACCAGCCAGGGCTTGACTATTATTATTAAAGCTGTTTCTCTAGCTGGGTCTGGGATGGGGCTTGCATAGGGATCTATCTTCAAGAACTTCTACCCTAAACTTAAAGAGAAAGAATAAGCTTCCTTGGCCTATAGCTCTGTCCTGTAAGAGAGCTACATGATTTGATTTTGAAAACTTCACAAAAGGTTTATTCTTGTCAAATATATCTTCTCACTATTAATGATGTCAACAGTTATTAAAATCATATCTTTTTTATTCCACAATTAGGGATATGGTTTAAAGTACAGACAATGGCCCTGACTGGTTTGGCTTAGTGGTTAGAGTGTTGGCCCTCGGACCAATGAGTCACGAGTTCAGTTCTGGCCAAGGGCACATACCTTGGTTGTGATTTGTCCCCGGCCCTGGTTGTGGTCGTGCATTGAGTGCAGCCACTCAATGTGTTCCTTTCACGTCATTGTTTTTCTCTCTCCCTCCCACTCTGTCTAAACAAAAATGGAAAAATGTCCTCGGGTGAGGATTAAAAAAAATAAAGTACAGATAATGCTTAATGGAGTATTATTCAGCAATAACAAAAGAATGAATCTTGCCATTTGTGACAACATGGATAGACCTAGAAGGTATTATACTAAGTGAAATAAGTCAGACAGAGGAAAACAAATACTGTGTGATTTCACTTATGTGTGGACTCCAAAAAAACCCAACAAAGAACAAAATAAAAACAGACTTATAGAAACAGAGACCAAAGGGATGGTTATCCTAAGGGAAGGGGTAGAGGGTTGGGTGAAAAGGTGAAGGGGAATACAGTCAATAATACTGTGATAAGTTTGCACAAGGAAGATGATTACTAGAATTAGTGCAGTGATCACATTGTAAGATAAATGTTGACTCACTATATTACACACCTGAAACTAGTGTAGCTAATATAATATTGTATACCAACTATACTTAAATTTAATAAATAAAATAAGCAATGAATATGAAAATAAATAAAGTATAAACAACTCTGGTAATAATCTATTGAATGTATTAAATTTACTTTCCATAATCAATCCAGTTTATCTTTAAAACATTTAGTTTATATAAGCCCTCCTCTCCTCCCACAGACAATTAAATCTGTTTAATTCCTTTGTAAATCGAAGGTGTGGATGAAAACATGCTTTAAGTTTTGTCTGTGCATGGCTGAGAGGTAGAGAGTTGGTGCTACGGAGCTAGAAGAATATAGGGAAGGGATAGGGGAAAGCCTAAAAGCCCTGTGGTTCTAGAATGGGGAAGGTGCTTGAGAGGGAGTATTCAGAAAGAGGAGACTTGAGAAAGCTAAGCTTTCTTTTGCCTGATTCCCTTCTCATCACTATAGTTGTGTTTGTTTATTTGAAGTTTTAAGTTTGCACCTTTTGTTCCTAGACATGTTGACAGTAAATTTAAGCTCCTGAAATTTGCCCTGCCTTCCCAGTGGTTCTTAGAAATGCTTGGTAAACACTCCCACTATTCCCCTAAATGGCAAATAGAGTTTTGCATTTCAAGACTTAGAGCTTAGAACCTTCATCAGTGTCTCCTGAGCTGGTGGCCAGAGCTACTGTGAGTGACAGAGGGAGCCTGACTAATAAGGTGTCAGTTGCCTGCCCACAAAGGCACAGGTTGCTGATGGTCACTTTACCTAATGCCTGTTACAGTAAAATGTCACAGGCATTACCTAAGGTAATTTATTCATTTAAATTAATTTGGCATGTTAGTATATTAAAATCTAAGTTTAGCTGGGGTTCCCAACATTTTGCCTTGTAAAAACAGACTTATTTATGGTCCAGGCTCATTTGTAATTGTTGGTACTGTAACTAAAAACTTCTTTGCGAACCTTCTGTTATGTACAGGGTGAAAGACTGAGCCATGCAGTAGGCTGTGCTTTTGCAGCCTGTTTAGAACGTAAACAGAAGAGGGAGAAGGAATGTGGAGTGACTGCTACTTTTGATGCCAGCCGGACCACTTTTACAAGAGAAGGATCATTCCGTGTCACAACAGCCACTGAGCAAGCAGAAAGAGAGGAGATTATGAAGCAAATCCAAGATGCCAAGAAAGGTAGCCTGTTCTGCTCTAATGTGTGTTTTTTTTAAGCAGTTTTCCCCAGAGGGCTAATATTTTGAAGCTATCAGGGCTAAGCTTTCTCACAAAAAGAACTCTTAGCAATATTTGAGGACCTTAAGAACAGAGCTGAAAATCTAAACTAAGTTCTTTCCTTTAGAGCGGCTTTGAAACTGTTTACCCTTTTTATTATGTTAAGCTATCTGGGGATGCCAAAAGTGCAACTGAATAAGCTGCAAAGACATTACCCCTGTGTTTAAAGACAAAATTGGGTCTGCTGGTGTGGCTCAGTGGTTGAGCATCGACCCATGCACCAGGAGGTTGTCAGTTCAATTCCCGGTCAGGACACATGCCCAGGTTGTGGGCCCGATCCCCTGGGGGGGCATGCAGGAGGCAGCCAATCGATGTTCTCTCTCATCGATGTTTCTTTCTATCTCTCTCTCTCCCTCTCACTTCCTTGTTCTCATAAATAAATAAATAAATAAATAAATGAAAAAAAAATTTAATAAATAAATAAAGACAAAATTGGGAAAATCTACTTCCTGAAACAGATTTTTAATTCTGATGCATCTGATCTTTGTGAGAAGCAGATGCTATCAAGAACCTATATCTTTTTTTTTTTTTTTTTTTTTTCAATTCTCACCCGAGGATATTTTTGTTATCTTCAGATAGAGTCGGGGGTGGGGGAGAGAACATCCACGTGAGAGAGACACATCAACTGGTTGCCTCTCTCACAACCCTGGCCAGGACTGGTGACAAACCACAATGAAGTTGTGTGCCCTTGACTGGAATTGAACCCATGACTCATTCGTCTGCGGGCCGACACTCTAACTGCTGAGCCAAACCGACCATGGCAAGAACCTACATCTTAAAGGAAGAAGTACAAATCCCAGATCTAGGCTGCAAAGGACCCACTGACATGATGCTGGTGCACATGCAGGCAGAGATTTCACAGTGCTACTATTCTTTATTATTACTGTTTTTTAGTGCTTTAGTGAAAAACAGTCCATAGAGTTTGAGAAGCTAGCCCCTAATTCTTTTTCCTATAGCCCTGTTCATTTTCGTGTGTGATTTTGCAGAATGTGGAGTTTTTTTTTTTTCAGGTACACATGGCAGCACAGCGGAAATGCCTGTACAAGCATTTAGGCTAGTCAGGCATCTGTTGCGTAAAGTTGGGTTGGATATATTTTCGAACTGAGTGACGGGGAAATGCTTTGCATTCTTGTGTATAGCTGGGGTTGAAACAAACAAGGAATATTTTGGAATTAAACAGTTCAGTTTAAATGTACATTAACATAATTTTGTTAATTTTTTACTATATTCTTTCTGTTCTAAACCAGCCATTTTGGGTAACTTCATTAATCTAATACTGACCCAAACAGCTCTAATTTTTAAGACAAAAGATACATATTTTTATTTGAAATAAAATTATTCATTGTGATTTTTAAATTTCTCATAAACATTTGTGCCAGGATTCTAAAAAACAAGAAATAGCATGCTATTTTTTATAAGAAAATGTAATAGGTACAGCTATTATTTAGTGTGTTCAGTGACTTTCAGATTGGAAGCATATTCTTTATATTTTTATTTTTAATTTTTTTTTTTGTTACAGATGTTTCTCCTTTTTTTTTCTTTTTACCTCATTGGCACCCCCCTCCCCAGGAAGCATATTCTTTAATACCACCAAATAGTACTCTGTGCTGCACACAGCCACTGCCAAAGTGGTTGAGTCCCAACAACTACCGAGGCTGTGAGGGGAGGGAGAGCTAGAGATTTCCCACATTCAGATTGGGACTCAGCTGGTACTCACATGGAAACAATCTTATATTTAGGTATATTTCCATTTAAAATGTTACCTTTATATGCTTTTATTCAAATGAGCCCTAGTGTATATTGTCCATGATTGAAAGACTGTTTTATGACATTCTGTAACATCTAATCAAACTTAAGCTTAATTACACTTTTCTGACTGCCACTCCCAAAGTCCTCTCCCCCAAACAAATAAGCAAACAAACATTGAAAACCATCATTCTTTTTTTTTCTTTTCTTTATTGATTTTAGAGAGAGAAGAAGGGAGAGGGAGAGATAGAAACATCGATGAGAGAGAACATCACTTGCCCACCTCCCGCATGCTCCCCACTGGGGATCGGGCCCACAACCTGGGCATGTGCCCTGACTGGGAATCAAACCGGTGACCTCTTGGTACATGGGTCGATGCTCAATCACTGAGCCACACCACCTGGGCTAAATCATCATTTTTTAATGGACCTCACATTAGGAGTTCATATATACTGTTGTTTTTTTTTTAATTTAATTTTGTTCAGTCTTAAATTATGAATCACTGCATGAGAATCAAAGATCTGATATTTGTGTCTTAATAGATATATCATGTGACATGTAGTAGGTTAAACCTTTTATTTGTTTGAAAAATAGATCTGAGCCCTACTTCAAACCTGTCTTTTAAGAGACATTGGGAAGCAGATGGATAAAGGACGTAGGAGGGTTTTTGAGTTCCTCAGCTGTATAACTCAAATTATTTGAAAACATTGCTAAGGTCCTCTTTCTCTTGCCTTTCTTGAGCTGAAACAGACAAAACAGTTGCTGGTTCATCAGTGGCCCCTGGCAACACTGCCCCATGCCCGTCTTCTCCCACTTCTCCCACTTCGGATGCCACTGCCTCTCTGGAAATGAACAATCCTCATGCCATCCCCCGCCGCCATGCGCCCATTGAGCAACTTGCTCGCCAAGGCTCTTTCCGAGGATTTCCTGCTCTTAGCCAGAAGATGTCACCCTTTAAACGCCAGCTATCCCTGCGTATCAACGACTTGCCTTCCACTATGCAGAGGAAGACTGATTTCCCCATAAAAAATGCAGGTAATGCAGTATCCACCTGACTCATTGGATGCTCTAGCACCGAAACATTATTGTCACTTCCAGTGAAACACTAATCCCACCAAACTAGCCCTTCTCCCCACCACCGCCAGGCTGGTTTATAGCTATACGTACCCTGTATCATTCCCCATTGGGAGAAAACTAAGTTTCCTGGAGGGAGATGTGAATCATTCATTTCTCTTCAATAGACAGGTAACAGAGCCATGATGGGAATTCCTAGCCTGACCTATAAGGTTTTTGGTTTGTCCTGATGGAAGTGTACTTACTACCTCTCAGCCAACCTGCTTCCAAACATCAAGGGTCTCAAGTTTCCATTCTTATTCTGCCATTTGGGACCAAGCAGGGAATTAATTATAAAGGCTTTGGAAACACATCCAGTTAAATAGCATTACTGTCAGATGTACCAGAAGCAGTGTATAAGTGCTCATTGTCCTTATGGCTAGCTGGCTCCATAGGGAGGAAACTCTAAACAGGCCTCTTGCATAAATCTAAGATCTGTTGTTCATCAGAGACTGTGAGCTTGCTCACACATATTCATTACCTTTCAGAAATGCCACACAGTCCTTTGTGTGGCCTCTGTACAGCCGAGCCAGCCCCGGTAGCTCTATCCTCATCATAAGACCTGGAGCTAAAGTGTCAGGTCTGGTCAGTACTTTTATTGGACTCCATTTTACCTACTACGAGACACACCCGGCCAGTGCCACAACAGAGCGTGAGGAAGCTCTGTCTCAACAGGGCATTCTCACTGGTGGTGATATAAAAGTACAGAGAGTTAAGTTCTTTTGACACATGAAACTAGGCCTAAAGAACAGTTGACTAGGCAATTACTGAGGGTCGTTCCAGCTCTCCTATAAAAACAGAAACTCCAATTGCTTTAAGTACCTGTTTTCAATCTCCTTCTGGAGCAGATGGGAAACAAAAACTAGCAGTCTCTTCACAGTTGAGCAAACAAAGGTTCTGCACACATAATTATCTTCCTAAGTGACACAGAAGATCCCAGAGTCAATAATAAGAGCAAAGCTTCAAGAGTCCTGGACCTTACTGAGTTCACTCTTTCATGTTGTCACAGTGCATACACTTGGTGCTTTGGAAGAAAATGAGAGGGATGACATTGTCATAGCTTATCATAGAGAAAGGACGGAGCATCCACTGGTGCCCTTGACTTGAACCCATTTTCCAATAGTTACTAAATGTCTTCCAAGCTTACCTCACACCACAGCCCTGTGAACTGGCTGGAAGACAAACAGGTCGCTCTGTCTTTCAGAAACATCTAGCTTACTATCTTGGCACAAAAAGAGAACACCAGCTTCTCAACAGTGTCACACAGGGGAGGAAATAAAGGAATCTGGGGATTCACAAGGGAGGAAGATAGACCTTAGTACGTGAATTGTTGACTTTTTTTTTTAATCCTCATCCAAGGATATTTTTTCATTTATCTTCAGATAGAGAAACATCGATGTGAGAGAGACACATTAATTGGTTGCCTCCCACAAAACCCCCACCAGGGCCAGGGACGAACTGCAACTGAGTTACAAGCCCTTGACCAGAATTGAACCTGCAACTCATTGGTCCACAGGCGGATACTCTAACCACTGAGAAAACCCCGCCAGGGCTGAATTGTTGACATTTTATATCTCTTCATCTGAAAAGCCAATGAAATAGTGTTCAGTAAATTTTTTGAAGCTGCTTTTATAGCCCCACCTGACAATTGAGACTTTTCCTTTCACAAATAAGGGATGGAATATAAAATACCACCTTGTCTCATACTGTTATATTTCAGGATTATGTAGTATTTCTGGAGCCTTTTTTTTTAATCCTCACCTGAGGACATTTTTCCATTTTTTTTGTTCAGGTAGAGTGGGAGGGAGAGAGGAAAAGAGAGAGAGAAACATCAATGTGAAAGAGACACATCGAGTGGCTGCCTCCCACACGACCCTAACCGGGGCCGGGGACAAACTGCAACTGAGGTACGTGCCCTTAGCAGGAACCGAACCCAGGTCTCTGGACCTCAGGCCAATGCTCTAACCGCTGAGCAAAACAGGCCAGGGCTCTGGAGCCATTTTTGTTTGTCTTGCAGTGCCAGAGGTAGAAGGAGAAGCAGAGAGTATCAGCTCCCTGTGCTCACAGATCACCAATGCCTTCAGCACACCCTCCGAGGATCCCTTCTCATCCGCCCCAATGACCAAACCAGTGACAGTGGCAGCACCACAGTCTCCTGCCTTTCAAGGTTCGTGCCCTCTTGGCCTGCTCAGCTATTCTCTTTGAAACTAGTATTTTTATAATGCTGCTCACTAACTGCAAGTTGGCATCCTGAGCTTTCCAAGAGCTGCTCAGACCCATTTATTTCGCTGTTTGATAATGTCTCAGATTGATTCATTTCCCTGTTCAACAGTGTCCTTGTTCTTTGTTCCCCTTCCTGTTTCCTAAGGTGTCTGCATTCGTCATTTTGCATGTACTTAATCTTTCATCCCATCCTATTAGGAGCTTCTATAGTTCCAATCCATTTCTTCATTTGCTACTTCTCTGTTAGTCAGAGTATCCAGCCACTTCTCCAGAAGCAGAAGTCAGAGTTGGTTCTAGTGTTACGCTTTCTTTAGCACGGTGGTTTTCAACCCAGGGTGATCTTGCCCCACAAAGAAAATTTGACATTCATTGTCTGGAGACATTTTGGTTTAACAGCTTGGTAAAGGGCGATTGCTACTGGCACGTGTGTAGAGCCCAGGGATGCTACTAAACATCCTTCAATGCACAGGCTAGCCACCCTCACAACAAAGAATTATCTGGCCCAAAATATCAGTAGTGCCAAGATTGAGAAGCGCTGGACTCATCTAGTCTCTACCCTGTCCCAAGAGGCTATAAAGAAAAAGGTACTTCTTTTGGCCCTTTAGTTCATTTCATCTTCTATAACCAATGTCCTAAAATTTGCTTTTTGGTATTGAAGAGTTACTAAAAGTTATTGTCTTCAGAGATACTGAGTCAGCAGTTGGTATTTACTCAGAAGTCAGCAAAGAGGCTGTATAACTTAAATTACAGACTTTTAGAATCTGACCTCCTCATAATTGCCATTTCTTCTGAGAGAGCTCAGAAAGCAGCTTTGCTGTGGAGTCAGCACCCTGCTCCTACTGGAGTAAACTACTCATGCCTTTCCTCCAAGGAAGCTCTTAAGAAAACCACAGAACCCTTTACACCTTTATAGTCACAGGTGCCAAATAGCTTTTTATTCCATCTGACAAATATTTGTAACACAAGTAGTGATTGGTACAACTTACTGAGCACTTGGTGCCTCCTGCTACATCATGGTAAAGACTCATGCACGTTCTCATCTCTTTTAATCCCCAAAGGGTTTAACAACCCTTTGAGGTAAGCATTACAGATAAGGAAAATGAGGTTCAGAGAGGTAAAGTAAATTGTCCACTTGCACAGCCAGGATTTAAACTCAAGGTCTTTCTGAATATAGTACGTGCTGCATTCTATTGACTATATGCCAGTTCACAAGGCAGTGGGTGTAAAACCAAATATAATGTAGTCCTTTCCCTGCTTTTAAGGGGCTCCCAGTCGAAGGGTGAGCTAGTCTTTTAGACAGGCGCTGGGTAAATAATAACAAGGCCATAGCATGGTTGCCCAGTCCAAAAGAGGGAATGATTATAGTGTAGGGCAGGGAAAGGTACTTGCTTGTTCCATACTAAATATGATAGCTGCGCGAGGAGTAGAAACTGATGGGATAGATGCCTAGAGTAAAGGAGAAAGTTCAGGAGATTTTGATAAAGGAGACAAGGAAAGAATAGTAGGTACTTTGAGATATTATGAACATTACCAAGGGAAAAAATATTCCAGAAAGGGAGATGAAATTAATTCTGTAGCCAATTACAGATTTATTAAGCAAATGAAAACATATACCAAGTTTGATTTCTCATTTGTAATAAGGGGATAATATCAGCCTTATTAGGTTTTTGAGAAAAGTAAATGAGATAATGCACACAAAAGTATTAACATAGTGCCTAACATGTAATATGGAATCATTGTATCTATTTCATTGTTGTTATTGTTGCCGTAATTTGATCTTTTGGAAGAGTGGTAGGAGAGGGAAATGCTTTATCTACATCATTATGCTAAAGGCTAAGTTATATCTAAAAGAGTTAGATTTTTGCTGCTTGTAAGACAAAGCAGCTCTGTTCAGTTTAATTTGAAATTGTTTTTCTAGGCTTCATTTCCTCTCTTCCCATACACATAGTTTCCTAGAACAGTCATTTGATTTTTTCAGTATAGCCGTTTAACTACAGTCTCTAGTTATCTCTTTGCCAAAAGGTTTGTGTATCCATTACAAGATGGTATGGTTATCTGAACACCAACTTTTCTATCTATCTGTTCCACCAGTATTGCACATTGGCCTGACAGACCCAGCTCTAAGGGGTCACCTGTGCACCCTGCATGAATTAACTCCATCGATGTTGTCTGCTCCCATTGTAGCTAATGGCACTGACTCAGCCTTCCATGTGCTTGCTGCTAAGCCAGCCCATACTGCTCTAGCACCCGTAGCAATGCCTGTGCGTGAAACCAACCCTTGGGCCCATGCCCTTGATGATGCTAACAAGGGAATTGCAGCCACACATTCGGGTAAGGTGGCCACAGATGGTGGTGAGGATTCTGGGATCAGATAAGTGACCCTGGTTTGAAAATCAGCCATTACCTGAGTGGGAACCAGGGAGGAGTCCTTTTGGAAAAGTATGTTTCTCCTAGAAATAAACTATTAAGAAAGGAGGAAGAAGGAGAAAGAACTAAAGAGGTTAAATTGATAGTTCTTAAGGTTATAGAACAGAATCATCCATAAAACTGTCTTAAAATACAGATTCCTAGGCCCTACCCTGAAGGAGTCTGTCACTGGATTTGGAGATATGTGGACATGCTTATAGGATGAGGGGCTCCTTCCTCCTACAGTGGCAGGCCTAAATAAAAGAGCTTTAAGAAAAGCACTTCATTTTTGTTTTTCTGTATTTTCTAACTTTTCTATAATGAACATTTAGCCATAAAACCAAAAAAATTTTAAACAGTAATAAAGGCAGTTCACCAGAAAGACAACATGTGTCAGGAAGCCAGGCAGGACCATCAGGTACAGCACCAAATCACTGATTATTTTCTGCTCATTCTGTTAGAGCAGAAGGTGAATCACCTTGGGCCCTTGGAGCACGTGCAAGGTGGCCTCTGTACCATGAATAAGCCACAGCAACAGGGAGGGGTGTCCTATGCCAGCCAGCTGCCTTGGTTCAATGCAGTTGAGCCATACCTAGACAGCTCTTCAACATGGCTGAAGACAGCAGCATGATCTGACAGGTTCTCTTTGTCTAACCACAAAACCTCCTCAGCTAGTAGCAAAATACCCCACTAGCAGGATTTGATCCACATGTTAGGATCATTCAAATAACCAAGCTTATCAGGTTAGGAAAGAAACTCCTAAAGACTGATTCTTTTCTCTCTCTCCATGTTGGTTCCAGGGACTGAGTGGGGTCAGTCTTCTGATGTGGCCTCTCCAGGTCTCTTCCAGGCTGGTCACCGACGTACTCCCTCTGAGGCTGACCGCTGGTTAGAAGAGGTGTCCAAGAGTGTCCGGGCTCAGCAGCCCCCAGCTTCAGCTGTCCCTCTGCAGCCAGTTCTCCAGCCGCCTCCACCCACTGCCATCCCCCAGCCAGCGCCGCCTTTCCAAGGGAGTGCATTCCTCACCTCTCAGCCTGTGCCAGTGGGTGTGGTCCCACCCCTGCAGCCAGCCTTTGTCCCTGCCCAGGCCTATTCTGTGGCCAATGGGATGCCCTATACAGCCCCTAATGTGCCTGTGGTGGGCATCACTCCCTCCCAGATGGTAGCCAACGTGTTTGGCACTGCAGGCCACCCTCAGGCTGCCCACCCCCATCAGTCTCCCAGCCTGGTCAAGCAGCAGACATTCCCTCAGTATGAGACAAGCAGTGCTACTGCCAGTCCCTTCTTTAAGCCTCCTGCCGAGCACTTCAACGGTTCTGCAGCTTTCAATGGGGTAGACGATGGCAGGTTGGCCTCAGGAGACAAGCACACAGAGGTTCCTACAGGCACCTGCCCAGTGGATCCTTTCGAGGCCCAGTGGGCTGCATTAGAAAGCAAGTCCAAGCAACGTACTAACCCCTCCCCCACCAACCCATTCTCCAGTGACTTACAGAAGACGTTTGAAATTGAACTTTGAGCAGTCCCTATGGCTTATGTGTTTTGTCCTTACTTAGGCGAGGGTGGGGTGGGGTGGGGGTGAAGGTCAAAGGAGCAAAGGAGACTTTGTGTCCCCATTCAGTACACTTTTCACTAATCCCAAAGGTCCCAAGGAGCATATCTAGGCATGGAGTGCTGTGCGGGGTGATTTTTGGATAAGTGGAGAAAATCATTCCTAGAGAAGAGCTGTCCTAGTTAGGCTAAAGAAGTCAAAAAATGTTGCCCTCTGTCCCCCTTCTCCTGCCTCAACCCCTTACAAATCTCTGGCAACAGAGAGGCACACATATCTGAACTGGAACCTGTATTCAAAGCACATTTACTGGAATATAAAACAACGGGAAGCAAAACGATCTCCCTTTGTTTTCAGGCCATGCACCTGCCTCCTCTCAGTACTGGCCGGTCTTAGAGATTGAGAACAGGGGTGGCCTGTTCTTGGGCAGGGACGAGAGGCAGGCGCTGCCAGAATTCCTGGAGGGCGCATCAGCAGCTGTGCAGCAGAGCTATATTTTAGGGGTAAATTTGAGCTTCCATTTTGAGTAAGAATAAATATTATAAATATATATCAAAAGAGCCAAAATCTTTATTTTTATGCATTTAGAATATTTTAAATAGTTCTCAATATTAAAAAGTTGTATGAGTTGTAAGTAATCTTGCCAAAGGTAAAGGGTTAGCTGTAAGAAATTGTACATAAGATTGATTTATCATTGATGCCTATTGAAGTAAAAAGAGGAAAAGCTGGAGGTGCAGATGGGATCCCTAGCTTACTTGGTATCAGTCATTGTAAGTAGCACATTGCAACAACAATCATGCTCATGACCAATACAGTCACTAGGTTGTAGTTTAAATAAAGAAAATGAAAGAGTAGTATTGTCCTGGTTTTAAACCTATGATGAAATTCTAATGTCATTATTTTAATGGAATCAATCTAAATATGCTCTATAGAGAATATGTATTTTCTTTTATATGTTGCTGCAGTTCCCTTATGTTAATCTTTTACTTTGTTTTAACACTAAGGTGACAATGACATCATATCCATAGATTGGAACACAGGTTACCGTGTTGGTTTGTCATGTGGGTTTTGTTTTTGTCCTTTAAGTTTTGTTCCCACAAATTTTGTGGGGATGGAGTTTCTGGTTTTATTTGATGTGTTTGCCCGTGTGTGTGCGTGTGTGTGTGTGTGTGTGTGTGTATGTGTGTGTGCGCACCTGTGTGTGCATGTGTCCTTGTCCCCCTCCCTTGTGTGAACAGAACATCCTGTTGCCAGTTGCAGCCACTTGACTTCTGGTAACAACGTGAGATCCCATCTCATTTTTACTTTTGAACGTTGGCCTTACAATCAAATGTAAGTTATATATATTTGTACTGATGAGAATTTATAATCTGCTTTAACAAAAATAAATGTTCGTGGTAGAAGTTTTTGCCCATGAAGGGCTGTTCTTTCCCCTTTTCTTTATTAGCAGTTGACTTTTAGTTATTTTTGGTCTTGCTCTGTCTCCGTTCTGCTGCTGCTGCAGCTCTCTAGTTTGGTGGCTAGAAAGTCTTTTATTTTGTAATATACCTGTTTTTATTTTTATTTTTTCTTTATTGACTTTTAGAGAAGAAGGGACAGGTTCAGAGAGAGAGAAACATTGATTGGCCGCCACCTGCATGCCCCCACAACCCAGGCATGTTCCCTGACGGAACTGAACCATGGGTCGATGCTCAACCATTGTGCCACACCACTGAGCTATTTGTTTACTTTTTTTATGGTTTTAGAGAGGAAAGGAGAGGGAGAGAGAAACATCAATCAGTTGCCTCCCACACACGTAACCCTCTGGTATACGGGACGACGCTCATCAACTGAGCCATACCAGCCAGGGCTCTAGTATATTCTTAAAATTCATATTTGTATTCATTCTTTAGGCTTTAATTGATCCTAAACAAATCTAATGTCAGATTCTTGCTGCCTGAAGTGTGGTCGGGACAGCAGCATGGACTTCGCCTAGGAGCTGGTTAGATACAGAATCTCAGCTCCACCCAGAACTTGTAAGCAGAATCTTTATTTGAACAAGACTTGCAGTGATACGCAACACTATCAAAATCACTTGGGGAGCTTTTAAAATCCTCATGCTTGGTCCATACTCCAGACCAATTATATTCAAATTTCTGGGGAGTGGAACTCTGGTTCAGTTTTTTTTAAAGGTTCCCACTATGGAAGAGGGTTGAGAACCAGTAGTTTAGATTGAATTTTACTCTCACCTTGAACCTCAGCCCACTATTCTGTGACTAGTTCTAGGAAGGGCTAGCTAACCTCAAACTTACCTTCTGAAAATATGTCACCACTAGGCCAAATACTGGTTTAATTTTCCAGTTTCTATAGCAAAACCAGCCATGATAAATCAAAGGGAATGCTCCTTTATATTTTTTTAATGGAAAGAAGAAATGACCTGTGCCCTGGCCCATGATAGGTAGACCAAGAAGTGTCCTTCACCCAGCCAACATGGTGGTAGTTAAAAAAACCTTTCCCTATAATGCCTGTCTCTCTCGTGTCCCTGAATAACCTCTGTCACTAGGCCCAGCCAGCCCTCTCGAGGAAGTGAAGAAAGTTCCAGTGGAAAGGAATTTAGGAACTCACTGAACCCAGGCCTCTTAGCAGCAAGGAACTGGCGGTTCTGAGATGAAGAATGACTTTCACCAATTCAAACTATTTCTGAAGCCACTTATTACGCTGCCCTCCCCTCCACTGGTCCCCCCATCCTGCTGTTACTGTTTTTAATAGTCTGGCTTTTATCTGGCAGCTTCACAGATTCCTACTTGAGAGGCTCCTTGTTAGTCCCAGTAGAGAGCAGGCCCGTTGATCAGCTCCATACAGGTGTGAGGGGATCCTCACAGCCAGCTCTGCGTGTTGACCTCAAGAGGAGGGCTTCAGGCCCCAGCTTCCTGATGAAAGTAAGGAGCTTTTCCACTTCTCTCATGCTCAGATAATAATGCAACTGCTCTTCTATATTGAGCCTTACATTATAGTCCACTTTGCCGAGAGTATCACAAACATGCTGTTCACCATATGCACAGATGGGTTTGAAGCTGGTTGCTACTTACTACCTAGAAGGTTGAGAGACTGGAGAAATAGGCCACTGTTTGACCCCAGATGAGATCTAGTTCTAGCAAAGACTCCTTCCCCGTCACAGCAGGAGTCCGATAGGTGTTAACTGAAATCATGCACCTCCCTATCCAGCTTTAAATGAAGGAAGAACTCTGTTAGCTCATTTTAAAATACAGTGAACTGATCCTGTGTAACAGAAATTGTAGTGGGAAGTTGTAAAGTAAAGGTGTTCTTATCCAAAGTTGTCAAGATTTCTCTTGACAACTCAGCTACCTGAGGTCATGTCAGAGAGGCAAACACTGCTGGGGACTCAGATCTGGCTGCTGCTGAGGCTAAACACTGGCTGTGGGTGGGTGGGGGGGCAGTGTCTCCAGAAGGTAACTCCCTTTGCCGGCCACAGAGGGGAGAGCAAGAGCCTCTCTGCCCTTCTCAGCCCTACAGTTGTTTCCGAACTGGGGCTGGAACCAGCATTCATCCCTGCTGCCAGACTGGCTGAGCGTGCGGCTGGAAACGGGAACAGCTGGCACAGCAGAAGCTGGAGTAATACTCATTGCCACAGAGTCGTGCCTGCAGGATCAGATCACAGTTGGCCAGCTCCGGCTGGTCGATGCAGTCCCTCGGCTGGGCGGCCAGTGCTGCAACACAGCAGGAGAGGAGTGGTAAGGAAGCTCCAAATGCTGAAAATTCTCACCACTGTTTCATTTCCTTAAAAGGAAAGTGGCATTGCGACTGCCAGATTCCCCCCAAAATGCAGCTGCTCTGCAACCTTTCGACACCTGTATGTACAGCTACAAGAAGGGATCGCAATTTCCACCCATTCTTTTTTTTTTTTTCAATTACAATTGACATACAATATTATATTAGTTTCAGGGGTACAACAGTGATTATACATTTATATAACTTACAAAGTGATCACCTCGATAAGTCAAATACCCATCTGATACCATGCATAGTTATTACAATATTATTGACTATATATTTCCTATGCTGTACTTGACGTTCCTGTGACTGTTTTTATAACTGGCAGTTTGTACATCTTAATCCCTTCCCCTTTATCACCCACCCCCCTAAACTTTCTTTCCTCTGGAAATCATCAGTTTATTCTCTGTATCTGAGTTTGTTTTGTTTGTTCATTTATTTTGCTTTTCAGACTCCACATGTAAGTGAAATCCTATGGTTTTGTCTTTCTCTGATTTACTTCACTTAGCATAAAACCCTCTAGGTCCATCCATGTTGTTTCAATTGGCAAGGTTCCATTCTTTTTTATTGCTGAGTAATACTCCACTGTATATATGTACCATATCTTTATCCAATAATGTATCAATGGACACAGGTTGCTTCCATATCTTGGCTATTGTTAATAATGCTGCAATGAACATGGATGCATATGTCTTTTTGAATTCGTGTTTTGGATTTCTTCAGATAAATACCCAGAATTCAAATTGCTGGGTCATATGGTAGTTGTATTTTTAATTTTTTGAGGAACCTCCATACTATTTTCCATAATGGGTGCACCAGTCTGCATTCCCACCAACAGTGCATGAGGGTTCCCTTTTCTCCACATCCTCAACAACACTTTTGTTTGATGATTTATTGGCAATAGACATTTTGACAGATATGAAGTGGTATCTCATTATGATTTTAATTTGCATTTCCTTGATTAGTGATGTTGAGCATCTTCTGATATGTCTATTGGTCACCTATATGTCCTCTTTGAAGAAATGTCTGTTTAGGACAGCTGTCCATACTTTAATTGGGTTGTTTGGGGGTTTTTGGTGTTAAGTTTTATGAGTTCCTTTTATGTATTTTGGATATTAACCCTTTATTGGATGTGTCATTGGTGAATAACTTCTCTCATTCATTAACTTGTCTCTCTGTTTGTTGATGGTGTCCTTCACTATGCAAAACCTCTAGTTTGATGTAGTCTCATTTGTTTGTTTGTTTTTTCTTTTGTATCCCTTGCCCAAGGAGACATGTCCAAAAAAATATTACCAAGAGTGATGTCAAAGCGTTTACTATGTTTTCTTCTAAGAATTTTATGGTTTGGGGTCTTAAATATTTAAGTATTTAATCCATTTTTAGTTTATTTTTGCATTTGCTGTAAGAAAGTGATCCAGTTCCATTCTTCTGCATGTATCTGTCCAGTTTTCCCAACATCATTTATTGAATAGACTGTGTGTTCTTGTCTCTGTTGTCATAGGTTAATTGATCACATAGGCGTGGGTTTATTTCTGGGCTCTCTAGTCTGTTCCATTAATCTCTGTGTGTGGTTTTATGCCAGTATCATGCTGTTTTGATTACCATAGCCTTGTAATACAGTTTAATAACAGGTAGTGTGATACCTCCAACTTTATTCTTCTTTCTCAAGATTGCTTTGGCTATTCATGGTCTTTTGTGATTCCATATAAATTTTAGGATTATTTTTTCTAGTTCTGTGAAAAATGCCATTGGTACCTTGATAGGGGTTGCATTGAATCTGTAGATTTCTCTGGGTAGTATGGACATTTTAACATGTTAATTCTTGTTATTTATCAGCACGGTATATTCTTCCATTTATTTATATCTTCCTCAGTTACTTTCTTCAACATCTTATAGTTTTCCAAGTACGGGTCTTTTACCTCCTTGGTTAAATTTATTCCTAGCTAGGTTTTTTATTCTTTTTGATGTAATTATAAATTGGATTGTTTTCTTAATTTCTCTTTCTGATAGTTTGTTAATTGTATATAAAATGTGACCATTTTCTGAATATGAATTTTATATTCTTGCCACTTTACTGGATTCATTTATTCTAATAATTGGTGGATATTTTAGGGTTCTCTTTATGTAGTATATCAGCTGAAAATAATAACAGTTTTACTTCTTTCTTTCCAATTTGGATGCCTTTTATTTCTTTTTCTTGTCTGATTGCTGTAGCTAGGACTTCCAATACTGTGTTGAATAAAAGTGGTGAAAGTGTCTTGTTCTTGATCTTAAAGAAAAAGCTTTCTCCTTTTCATTGTTGAGTATGATGTTAGCTGTGGGTATGTCATATGTGGCCTTTAGTATGTTGAGGTATAATCCTCTATCCCCACTTTGCTGAGAGGATTTTTCTTTAATCATAAATGTATGTTGGATTTTGTCAAGTAATTTTTGTGCATCCATTGATATGATCATATGGTTTTTTAAATTCATGTTTTTTATGTGGTGTATCATGTTCATTTGATTTGCGGATATTGAACCAGCAGTGCATCCTGGGAGTACATCCCATTTGATTATGGTGTATGTATAATCATTTTAATGTATTGCTGAATTCAGTTTGCTAATATTTTATTGAGGATTTTTTTTTTTTTATCCTCACCCAAGGATATTTTTTCATTTTTTTGTACAGATAGAGTGGGAGGAGGGAGGGAGAGGAAGGGAGAGAGAGAGAGAAACATCGATGTGAAAGGGACACATCGAGTGGCTGCCACCCGCACGACCAACCAGGGCCGGGGACAAACTGCAACCGAAGTACGTGCCCTTAGCGGGAACCGAACCCGGGTCTCTCCGGACTGCAGGCCGACGCTCTAACCGCTGAGCCAAACTGGACAGGGCTATTGAGGATTTTTGTATCTATGTTTATCAGGGATATTGGTCTACAATTTTCCTTTTTTGTAGTGTCTGTCTTGATTTGGTATCGGTAATGCCGGCCTCATATAATGAGTTTGGGAAACTTACCTCCTCTTCCGTGTTTTTGGAATAATTGAGAACGATATTCTTTGAATGTTTGGTAAAATTCACCTGTAAAGTCATTCAGTCCAGGGCTTTTGTTTGTTGGGAGGTTTTATTATTATTACTACTACTAATTCAATTTCATTAGTAGTTATCAGTCTATTCAGATTTGTTTCTTCCTGATCGAGGCTTGGAAAATTGTATGTTTTTAGAAATTTATCATTTCCTCAAGGTTGTCCAATCTGTTGGCATATCATTCATTAGTCATTTGTATTTCTGTGGTGTTGTCACTTCTCTTTCATGTCTGATTTTATTTATTTGGGCCCACTCTCATTTTTCTTGATGAGCCTAGCTAAAGGTTTCTCAGTTTTATTTACAGTCTCAAAGTCTTGGTTTCATTGATCTTTTTTATTGTTTTTTTTAAGACTCTTTTATTTATTTGCATTCTGATCTTTTTATTTTCTTCCTTCTACTCACTTTGGACTTTGTTCTCCTTTTTCTAGTTTCTTTAGGCGTAAGATTAGATTGTATGAGATTTGTATGTTTGTTTGTTTGTTTAAGTAGGCCTGTATTACTATGAATTTCCCTTTTTTTTTTTTTTTTTTATCCTCACCCGAGGACATTTTCCATTTTTTGTACAGATAGAGTGGGAGGGAGAGAGAGGAAGAGAGGGAGAGAGAGACATCGACGTGAAAGGGACACATCGAGTGGCTGCCACCCGCACGACCAACCAGGGCCGGGGACAAACTGCAACCGAGGTACATGCCCTTAGCGGGAAGCGAACCCGGGTCTCTCCGGACCGCAGGCAGACGCTCTAACCGCTGAGCCAAACCGGCCAGGGCTGAATTTCCCTCTTAAAACTAACTGCTTTGGCTGTGTCCCATAGATTTTGGGTTATTGTGTTTTCCTTTCCATTTGTTTCAAGGTAGCTTTTGATTTCTTCCTTGATCTCATTGTTAACCCATTCATTGCTTAGTAGCATGTTATTAAGCCTTCATGTGTTTGTGTCTTTTTCAGTTTTCTTCTTGTAAACTGATCAAGAAAACTGATCTTCTTGATTTCTAGTTTCATACCATTATGATCAGAGAAGATGCTTGATATGATTTCAGTTTTTTAAATTTATTGAGACATCTTTTGTGGCTTAAAATGTTGTCTATCCTGGAAAATGTTCTGTGTGTACTTGAAAAGAATGTATATTCTGCTTTTAGGTGGAATGTCTTAAAAATTAAGTCCATCTGCTCTAATGTGTCATTTATAGCCTCTTATTGGATTAATCCCTTTATTATTATGAAATGCCTTTCTTTGTCTCTTGTTACAGCTCTTGTTTTAAAGTCTATTTTGTTTGATATAAGTATTGCTACCCCAGCTTTTGGGGGGAGGTCCATTTGTATGAGATACCTTTTTCCATCCCTTTACTTTCAGTGTACATGTCTTTCAATCTGAAGTGGGTCTATCCATAAGATTATGTCTTTTGATTGGAGTATTTAGCCCATTTATATTTAATTATCAATAGGTATGTAGTTATTGCCATTTTATTGTTTTCTGATTTTTTTTTAGTTCTTCTCTGTTCCTGCTCTCTCATATGTTGATGACTTTCCATAGTGTTGTGTTTGGATTCCCTTCTCTTTATTTCTTGTATCTCTCTTGGTTTGTGGTTACCATGTGCTTCATGTATACCAGCTATGTTTATAGAAGTCTATTTTAAGTTGATGGTCGCTTAAGTTTGAACACATTCTAAAATCACTATAATTTTTACTCACCCCCTCCATGTTTGTTTTGTTGTTTTTTACTTCTTTTGTGTGTGTCCCTTAATTTATTATTGTAATTATACATGACCTTTCTACTTTTGCCTTTTTACCTTTGTATTAGCTTTATAGTTTGTTGATCCACTGCCTTTACTAAGTATTTGCCTTTGTCAGTGAGAATTTTTCTTTCCTATATTTTC